ATATAGGTACTACATGTGGACCTCTCTCAGATTTGTTCATTTTCTAATGATATCTTCTGTTCTTTAATGCCATGTGCATTGTAACAGCGGAGCTATCTCAGCCGACAGGCTGCTTGTCTTATATTCTTTAATATTTCTGGAAATGAACCATGATTCTGGAGCCAACAAACAAAATTGGAGTCAATTACATCCCAAAATGGTATATGTGCGTGCATGTGAAATGCTATTATATCTTCAACTTTCGGGAAAGTGGTCCATAGCCAGTTACCTTATAACCCATAGTGCTAAATGTATTCAAATGTCACATTTTCAGAACCAAGCTAATTTAAATGCTTTGCATTTATTCGCTATTTTAAATGCTCAATGCGCAAATTTCTAAACATTCAGATGGATTTAGACTGTTGACAATCCCTGACTTTGTCAATTAACCAATCTTTTTTACAACATAACTCATGTTTACAACACAACTCATGTTTACAACACAACTCATGTTTACAACACAACTCATGTTTACAACACAACTCATGTTTACAACACAACTCATGTTTACAACACAACTCATGTTTACAACACAACTCATGTTTACAACACAACTCATGTTTACAACACAACTCATGTTTACAACATAACTCATGTTTACAACACAACTCATGTTTACAACACAACTCATGTTTACAACACAACTCATGTTTACAACACAACTCATGTTTACAACATAACTCATGTTTACAACACAACTCATGTTTACAACACAACTCATGTTTACAACATAACTCATGTTTACAACATAACTCATGTTTACAACACAACTCATGTTTACAACACAACTCATGTTTACAACACAACTCATGTTTACAACATAACTCATGTTTACAACACAACTCATGTTTACAACACAACTCATGTTTACAACATAACTCATGTTTACAACACAACAGGTGTGCAATTTCTAAGACTCTTGCATACAGTACAGTTTTGAGTGTAACTCAACTCCCTAGCTGGCTATCAGATGGCTTTGTCTTTTCATAAAAACTTTTTAAAGTGAGTGTCATTGTCATCTAAAATTTCAATTTATTTTTTGTAGTATGTTACTATATAATTAGGCGGATTACTCTGCATAATTCTGATCTATAGTGATTTTGAAAGCAAGCTAAGCTAGCATAAATTAAGCCAGCTCAACGCTAGTTCAATGTTAAGTTACGCTCTGATGGTACTGTATGCTGAAAACATCAATGCAACTACTTTATTGCCTCCCTGTAAAAAGATTGACATAGGATAAGTACAGCGAAAATAAGTTTTAAGATATATGTACAAATATTATAAAAAGTACGTAACTAGTATTTAAATGTTAACAGAATCTTTGTGTTGTGTAAATATAATTGGCAGGTTCTTTAATTATGCCAGGATCTTTGCTTGAGAGTATATATATGTATTGTATATCTTTATTTTTGTTAAAATTGGTATCATAATAATAATCATGATTGTTATTTTATTATTGCAAATCACTTAAGGATTACACCACAAAGTCATCGGCAGTCGGGACAGAGAAGTCTCACCAAGAGGATCAGAGATCGCCGAGTACACCAGACAGCCAGTTGCTTGTAGGACGGTTAGAGTTGGAGGAACCCAAGATGACAAGTGAAGAAGAACTCGTCAGATCAGAGATTGAAGAGAGTTACCTGACACATTATAATGCAGATGAAAGCGAAGGTAACAACAAAATTGCAGTGTTTTTCATGATAATATTTGTGCAAATTTGGGCGACGCAGTCAAGTTATTGAACGCGTGCTGCATGATGACCATTGATCTTTCATTTCCTTTCATCCTTAATATACTGTAGAATACTTTATTTTAGCTGGAATTAATTTTCGTTGAAAAGGCTTTTTGGGTGTTGTGTATGGAATTTATTTTCACCGAGTTTTGACGAGTTCAATGTGAAATATAGGGAAAAAGGTATATTTGCTGGATTTTATTTTCACTGAATCATTCCATCAGAGAAAATAAATTCCAAGCGAAAATAATGTATTCTACAGTAGACTACAGCATTTATTTGTGCACTTGACATACTTGTGACTCTTTGATGCATCACATACTTTGTTTTGATGAGTTCAGTTGTAAATTTTTCCGATAATGACAATTTCACAGTGAAACAAACATGGTGACACAACTGTTACTGCAGTCTTATTACATTCGCTTATTTCCACAAATTCTACCCTCTCATTAGCAGAACAGTGCGGTGTATCGCCGAGTTTGGAAAGTTCAGCAGGGTCATCAAATGTAAGTCACGGCACGCCGATACTAATAGTTGAGCAATATATGGAGAGTATACAATGTTACCATCGAGAAAGACTGGAGCGAAGATCTAATAATACTAACTTAACAACCCTGGTGATGCCGCTGAGGGAGGAGGTGTGTCATCATTTGGATACTTTGGATGAACGCAGAGGATGCGGTTAGTGACAAAATAAAATTTACTTTTCTCACAGCTGATTGTTGAATGCATTTTTGTTCAAAGTTTTCATGCATGCCACAAAGCATTGCACTTGAGTCAAAGCATTTTATACAAGACATGATTTGATTTGCTGAAACAAGCAAGCTGCTTTTTGATTGGCTTGAATGTTAGGTGTTAAGGTTGTGTAGCCAATCAGGTACAGTCTTACTTTGATTTGCCCTGAGCTTTGTGGAACCACATCCTGGTACTTTCTAAAGGAAACAGAATTTCTTATGCAAATGTATGTTATTGAAATTAAAAAAACAGGTTTGAAATTTAGGCGGTAAACTATTTCTATTTTAAGACAAGAATATCCCTAAAAGTACCAAAATGTGAGTCTTCTTAAAGTCATGCATGTATTAAATTATTTCTGTGTATATCATATTTATTGAGGAATGGACTGATTTGCGTAAAACAAATGCAATGTCTTGCTTGGTTGTTCTACCTTAGCATGTATGAGAAGAAAGCCATTTTTCTATAATCATTTTCAAATTTTAGTGGAAATCTTGATGAATTGTTGTAAAATTTATTTATCATCAAGAAATGTTTAAAAAATCATAATTAGGGTTTATTTCATGGCAATTCCAAACTTGTGTCATTTTGGTACTTTGGTGTAAATTGACAAGTCAAAGTATAAGTAGTAAGATAAAAAAAAGAAAGAAATGTGGGGGGGGGACAGACTATTTCTAGAGATATGTCAGTTTCAGGAATTTACCCTGTCCTAGCACAGGTGATAGAACATCCTGCATGTCCACTTCAAACTCATCCACATTCAAATGCTGAACTTCAGAAAACAAACTTTTTAATGAAAAAATGTAAAATCTACAGCATGTCAAATTTTTACTGTAAATTACCTTATTTTCATTTCATCTTTCTGAAACTGCAATGATATTACATATACCAATCACCATAATATAATATTTAAAAAAAACAATTACTAGTAATTGACCTTAGACCTTTCACCAATTGATCTGAAATTAAAAAATGATAGAAAAAATATTTGCGTAGAAAAATAATAAAGCCATTCAATGGGTTAACTTTTCACAGCCATGCCGTGTGGGTTCCATGTAACATGTTCAATGTCATGTGGGTCCCATGTAACATGTTCAATGTTGTGTGGGTCCCATGTAACATGTTCAATGTCATGTGGGTACATGTAACATGTTCAATGTCATGTGGGTACATGTAATATGTTCAATTTCATGTGGGTTCCATGCAACATGTTCAATTTCGTGTGGGTTCCATGTAACGTGTTCAATGTCATGTGGGTTCCATGTAACATGTTCAATTCCGTGTGGGTCCCATGTAACATGTTCAATGTCATGTGGGTTCCATGTAACATGTTCAATTCCGTGTGGGTCCTATGTAACATGTTCAATGTCATGTGGGTCCTATGTAACATGTTAAATGTCACGTGGGTCCTATGTAACATGTTAAATGTCACGTGGGTCCTATGTAACATGTTAAATGTCACGTGGGTCCTATGTAACATGTTAAATGTCACGTGGGTCCCATGTAACATGTTTAATGTCGTGTGGGTCCCATATAACATGTTCAATTTTGTGTTGGTCCCATGCAACATGTTAATACAAGTAAAACAAATAGATTGTTTACAAAAAACAAAGCAAAAATAATTGTGTAGACAGATAGAATTTTTAGTTTATCTTTGGTTATCTTTTTTTCCAATGGACTACCTTTTGACAGGTTGTTTCTGTCACAACCATGTATTCAATACAGACTTAAGATAAATGCTAAAATTGCCCACCAATGTAATTTTAGTGAATTTCCTTTTCATAACGCAGTTATGTTCTGGTCATACATTTTTATTATTTGAATTTATGCCTCAAAATTATAGTCAAAACATCACAACTTTGAATTTACTCTTTGAGACTTGATCAAACGCCCCTAAAATTTGAATCACTGCTTTAAAACATAAATCCATGCTTTAAAATTGATATAACACTTCAAAATTTTAATTGTTTTATGCTTTATGGTTGCTTAGATAATTGTTTCCATTGTGTCTGTAGCAAAAATGGCTTATTCTCTCATTTTGTAACATGTTTTGTTTTTTTCCATTTCTATATTTTTCAGTTTTTCCCTTTATTGTTTTCTCATCACTCCTGCTTGCAAGACATTTATGTGTGTTTTAGTAAATACAAGTGAGTCGCTATCTATTTATGTTGGCACCCAAAGCTGATATGATAATTTTATTACTAACATTCACTTGTGTTTTGTTGCAATTTTTTCCCTCTTCATTTGAAGATAAATGTTGGTTTCAATCGGGAGACAACACAGAAACAGAAACAGTTTTTGACAAACAAAGAATGTGCAATTTATAAGGTTTGTGCACATTTAAAAAAAAAGCCCAATATTAAACTCTACATTCATTTTAACCATTTCACCACCACCAGTTCCATCCGTCTCCTTTTATAGTCAGCACTTTTCTTCCGAAGATTAGGACAAAAATATCCAAAATTTTTGAGCAAAAAGCGACTCAAATTGTGTCTGTTGGCTTCAAAATTGTCTTAATGAATATAAGAAAAAAGTAGAAAAATTTGGGCAAGAAAGTCTTGAGAATTTGACTTGCATTTTAACTATACATGTATAATGGACCTAGAATGAATAAGATTTTAACATCTCTAATCAGTGTACAGGCAACACCTCTGAGATCAGTAAACTTGCATTTTCACTGTTACAAGATCAAAAAGTTGTTCATTTCTCAGCAATAGACAACTACGAATATTTATAGTACTGACTTGACTGTATGCAAAATTTATGATTACTTAAAAATGATAAAGATTTTATTTAAAACCTAGTTAGATTTCAATGTAGAGAAGAAAAGTAGAATTCCTTTTCTGTTTATGTGCAGGCATTTTGTATTTCCTCATATACTCTCTTAGCTCTTAAACAGACAAGCAGTTGGCACCCCGTATTAGGATAGCCACTCCAGAAAAATTCGGCTGACTGTGCTTTGCAAAGGTTTTTTAACTTTACATTATGTCTACAATCTATCCGTAGTGTCACCAAGAATATGGGCACTAAGTCCCAGTTTAGATACGCAGGAGCCCCCGCCGCCACCGAGTCCCGAAGCGATAATAGCCAGCAGAATAGCAGCCATCGGAGACCAAATTATGCTGGAACATCAAAATCATACGGAACTTAACTCCGCTGTCAAGAAACTTCTTGGTCACAATGGAACGTTGGATTATAATGCATTTAAAGAAGTCGCTAAAGATATGATTGATACTGAAGAGCCCTCTAGTGGTTGGCATCAGGTATAGATACAAGCGCCCTCTAGTGGTAGACAAAGAATATACTTTTTCATCATACAGTTAACCCTTCCATTGCCAAATTCAACTTTTGTCATATGTCAGAAAATAATATTATTTTATCAAGACATGTATCCAGTGGGAAATTGTGTCTTTTTAGTTCAAAATTAACAAAAAGTTACAGAAAAATACCAAAAAAAAGTTGCTGAATGTTACAGCACAATTTTGATTGAAAAAATGTTCGGGTTATGTTATTTTTGTGTGATACTGTGATGTAAAAGAATCTGGTCCATCACAGTTATATTGAAGTCTGTTCAAATCTGAGATCAATTGACCATAATTACCTCAATGACAGAATGTCAGAATATGTGTTTATTTTGCCCAAATCACTCAGTTTTTCTCACTAAATGTCTGTACAATTAAAAATTTCTGTGATTTTCCTGTTGGCTTTTGTGATTCTCTATCCCAATCTCTGTACTGAGTGGAGGTGAGTTTCAAAACGATGTGCAAATTTGGCTATCATTCTACTTCATGCGTCTACTTTACCTTAATCTAAATTCATAGTCAATATAAATATGTTATTTTTATCACTCAACATAAGGCGGTGGCCCTTACCATGTTTCATCTTACTACACCCATACAACATACTGTAAAAGTTTAATTTTCG